CCAAGGGAGAGAAATCCAGAGGAGATTTCAGGAGCCCTTTGCCCTGCTTTGGAGTTTGAGAGTCGCTTTGGTTTTCCAAGGCGTGTAGTGAAACGTAATTCAAGAAAGTTTATTACTCTCGCTGGCCTTCTCGCCCTTAATACTTAATACTCTGTGAATTGTCCTTTTTAATTTACACTGGTATTAAGAAATACATAGCCCAGACTTCTAAGTGCTTTAGCAAGTTTCTAGTTCTCCCTCCCTAACAGGAGTCTGTTTATTCATTGATTTATTTTTTTTTAAACTGGAAATATTATCACCACAAATAACACCATGACTTTGAGTAGAAAGGAAAATGAATCACAGTAGATGCTTTCCTTTAAATATATGTATAATGTGTGCGTGTGTATGTATAAAGTAGACAGCATAAAGAAGACAGCAGATGTGTTCATGTGGAAGAGTTCAGCACTGTTATTAAGTGTCATCTAGTCTGTTCTGCTGACCTCAAAAAATTAAACTTTGTGAAACTAATTTGATATCCAGGGCCCCACACTTGTTTATCTTGAGGTTTTTTTGATAAGGAAAACAAGGTGCGCCCCAGGTGATAGTTTAACGTTCTTGGCCAAAGTACAGAGGTGCTGCTAGAGAAATTGCTTTCTGTGTTTGGGATCAGGATAAAGGAAGTCTTTGATGTTGGTTCCTCTTGGGTTATTGGATTTCTCTCTCAGAGAGCATCCTATTCGATACCTGAAACAGAGTAGCACAAAGAATAGCCATTACAACAGGCTACACTCAGAAATGATGCTTTGCAATACATCACTGCCAGTGTCTTTAAATTATGATGTGAAATTCTCACAAAAGTGACTGCATTGACAGCCCTAGAAAATACTATTTTCTTCCCAAAGCATGTGTACAGTTCGGGGAATGGACCCAAAACAAAACCTCCTGCAGTGATGTGGCTTGTTGTAGGAAAGATATTTTATGAGTAGAGGTAGATTTATGTCTGTTTCTCAACTTATGTCCTTTATAGATCAGCTACATAAAATTTTGCAGACAGGTTAAGAGGGATTCCTTGAGTTTATTACCTTTGAGATTTGTTACGTGGAGGTTCAGCCTATGTGAAATTCTCGGCGGAGATGCTGGCTCTGATAACACACTAACAGCAAGTCTTGCTTGCTGCTTCGTGTTGAGGGCATTTCACCTCCCAGGGAATTACAGCCCTGTTTGGCCACCCTGTTCCTGACTTGTTTTCTCTCTCCCGATTATTGTCTTCCCAATCATCCCATACCACATCTTCCGTGGAAAGTGGCTGAGTGTATCTTGGCACCACATGTGTTATTACTGGAATGGCCACGGCAGTTCATCATCCTGCTCCTAGCGCAATTGTTGAAGCGGATTTTTTTTCCAGTTCCTGTCAGGAAGACTTTCTATCCTAAAAAGACAGATTCCTCCCCAGCAGCTTTGCTTCGTGGCCGTGTGTATCGCACCGAGTTTCAGTGCGTTCCTTCCCGTTAGCTGTAGAGCAGAGCGGGGCTGTGGGCACAGCCTGTGGGCAGGGGCGTTTCACAGGCACCTGGAAGCCGGTGTTTGCAGTAACAAATTTGGCAGCCTTAGCCAAAATTTCCCTGAAGCTGCGTTTAATGGATGTGTACTTAGCTAAAGCAGTGCCACCATTTGAGATATGTTTCTAATTCTTTTTCTTCCTTCCTTTTCTTCTTTACTTAATGATGTTGAAAATACTTGAAACTGAGTAAAGTCTTACTGTGGACAGACCCTGAAATACTGCTTTCAGGGGAAAGCTCTGTTCTTTAAACCATTTTTCTTCTCTGTGGCATTTGCTTCCATGTATCTGTTATTTTCAAAAGACACAATATTGTATTTGCTATATCTTGTATGGTTAATATTTACATTTACTTGTTTTAGTATTTGATGTAGGTGTTCGACTGAATATTGTGATTTAATCTAGTTTTTAACCTTCATAGATAACTAAAACATTTTTCACAGTAGCGGTCTGTTCATTTGACATTAAATGGGTGTGATTCATATTATTTCAGACTTACTTTCAAAAACATTAGTTAAGGTCAGGCATCTTGTTATAGCATACTCCACAATACTGCATTTGAGCAATTTTTGGTAGATGTGCACTACTTCATGGAAGGTTTTAACATGAAAGGCTGAAGTAAATGGGTAATGGATAGAAAACATTGCCAGAGGATTTTGTTTCCACTAATGGAACTTTATTTCTGGTCATAAGCTCCAAAATTTCTCTGGTATGACATTCATTTTCTGTACCCTGACAAGCAGTGAGGATTTTGAGACATGCTGACAGACATTAGAGGAAAAAATCAAAAGAATTACTAGATGTTTAGAAAGGGCTATTTAGACAGTGCTTCTAAAAACTCACCATATTCTCACAGTCAGGAGATGATAATGTCTGAATGAGCCACATTTATTTTCTGTGAGAATGGAGCAGTAATGAGGAATCTTGATTATCAGTAACAGCGGGGAAAATGGAGAATTTTCTAAGTAGGAATCATTGGCTTATTTTATTTAGTGCCAAAAGGGAACATTGAGCCGGGTAGTTGCACCAAAACGCTGAGAGCTTCATGTTGTGTGATGGAGCAGTCTGCTCGGATGCCAGTTTCCCCCACGTGGTAAAATAAAGATGTGATAGATGCAGAATCCCAAGGACCCAGGGAAGCCTGTGACCCAGGGCGATAACTACACACACATGCAGTTAACTTATATGGTTTTTTTTTTTTTTTTTATATCAAAGTGAGCCAGTTGTGAATGCCATGGATGGGTGTATTTCAGCCTTTGCCATTAGCAGGAGGATATAAAGGGGTGTGACTGCCCTGCACATCATTGGGGCAGCCCTGCACCGGAAACCACTCGTATTTTTCTTGGGCTCTTGCAAATTAAAAAGAAAAGAAGGAAGATGACTTGTTTTTACTGCATTTAGATAAATAAAAAGCATGGAGTGCAGTGGCGCCCATTAGCTAATTCCGTTGCAGGGAAGTTTCAGCATGTTTAGCACTAACCTTGAAGCCTGTTGGCTTCTGTAGAGACCGCACGTGTAAGTTGAAGTTTAGGCTTAGATGTCCCTTCTTAGTATATTGTAAGATGCAGATCTTATTTCCCTGCAAATCATTTTGGGGTTGTTTCTGTTGATTTCAGTAAGGTTTGATGCAGTTAGGGATAGCATATCAAAATTTAAGAATCCTAAATTTAAGAATTCATGAGGTGTCCTGAACCGTAAAACAGTGATTCTGCTAACGTTAGTGCCTGTTGGCATATCTAATTCCTAACAGCTTCTGCGGTCATGTTAAGAGTGGGTTTCTTTTTTTTTTTTTTTTTTTTCCTTGTTTTGACAACAGTTTGCAAAAATATTTATTATGAAAAATACCTAGATTTTTGAGGATTTAGGGTAAATAAAGGACAACCTTGGCCAAATGTAGTGCCTAAATAGAGGTAAAGGTAAAAGAGGTAAAGGTAAAACTAGGATTTGAAGCATTTTCCAACCTGTCATTTTAGTTTAATGCTAATTGTTTGGGGGTTTTGGTTGTTTGCATTCTGTTTAAAAACTTCAGTCACTTTGATGCTTTATAATGCACAGGGGAAAAGAGTTTTTCTGAAGGAAAAACTCTTAAAAGGACATTGTCAAGGAATGAACTGCTTATTTGATCTTTTAGTCTTGTCTATAAAAACCCCAAGAAACTTGAGAATCCATTTCCAGTTCTGCTCTCCTGCATTTCGTGTGCATATTGGCTTGTCGCTGTGGGGTTACTCATAAGTGTTGTGCTTTCTGGCACTGATGTGTTTTTCAGAAAAAAAAAAAAAAAAGATTTGAAGCATTTGTTTTGAAACAAGAAGGCCACATTTAAAGAATTACATAGATTTGCAAACAGATTTAAGAAAGTGAAAGATAGGTCAAATTTTGGGCCTGCAAACCTGACAATGTCCTTTATTTTTTATGCCTTTTTTGAGAGACATGAGTGATTTTTAGGGTGTTCTAGGAGTCAGTGGCAGAAAAATGCAGAAGTGACACTGTTAATCTCTGTTAATCCTAATAGCTCCTCTTGTTGCCTTGTGGTCTGTTTCCTGTCCTCTTGGCAGCAAGTGGCTTCAAGTGACAACCTTCACTGAGTGATGGGATTGCTTTAGCTACTGTCGGTTTGTAACAGAATTGGTTGTTTTAGAAAAGATTTTTAAAAAGATCACAACGTAGAATATGGCGGGGGAAGTTTCTTACCTTGCAGTTGTCAGCGTGTCTAATTTATTTGCTTAAACGTGCCCCGTGGTCTGTAGTGTGCACAGGGGTACCCTCCTTTCCAGGGCGACAGCAGGTAGGACACGGCAGGAATCCGACGCATTTACTTAGGTTGTCTTTCAGCTTTAATAAAACAGATCCTGTGCCAGGCAGCATGGTGCTCTTGAATCTCTTGTGGGTTGGGCTGCCCTCCTGGAAGCCGCTTTTTAACTTTTTCAAGATTTCTCTTTAAAAAATAGAGTGGGCTGAGGTTTTTCTTAGTTTTAAGAGCAGCTAGCCCAAATTGCAGCCTAAAAAAGGTGCTACTCTGCTGCCCATATGCAGCTCTTCCCCGGAGGTGCCATGCTCTGGCTGCGGGGGGTGTACGTGTCATACGGGGTGTCTTAGGAAACTTGCAGCATTCCCTGACGCAGTGTCTGATGCTGAGGCAGGAGCTCCACCACGTTCCGCACTGGGAAGCGGGAAGGCCCCACCGTGCAACTGAATAGCTGGAGCCGTGAGGAAAAGCTAAATACACGTAGATAACGTGAAGGGCCTGGCTCGGCGCCCAGCGCCGCAGCGAGCTCGGGGTTAAGGCTGCTCACTCCACCTCTAGGCCAGCGCGTCCGTGGGGCCTCCGCGGAGGTGGACGGGGCAGCCCCGCGGCGACGGGCCGGGCGCAGGCGCAGCGAGAAGCTTTCGCTTTGGGTCTCCTGCCTTCAGCCAGACCCTTGCTGTTGTTTTAATGTATCTTTTGTGTTTTAATTTTTAGTAGAAAAAATTGAACACGATCCAGGCTACAGAGGTTGCAGTGGATAAGAAGTTTAAAAGCTTTGGTTCAAGATCGCAGGAGGCTGCGAGAAAAGTTAAAGACATGGAAATGAGGATCCAGTGACAGGCTGCTATTTTGCCTCAGAATACAGAAGATTGTAAAGCATTGAGAAATCGAATTCATGACCCTGGAAATCAAGCTCAGATTAAGAAATGTCAGGTTGGTAGGGGTTCCTGCAAGTCTGAAGTTTAGGATAAACTCCCAGTATAAATAATCAAGGTCCTAAAATAGGGGGGTGGACGGTATAATTTTTATTGTGTGTGCATTCTGTGATTCTGTTGTGTATCATGCTATCCCATACCCCTGAGTAAGCCAACTATATTTATTTTTAAAAATGAGTTTCATGTGCAGAATGTCATTTTTCACCAGATTACAGTTATTCCTCTATGGTACTGAGCTGCACAATTTACTGTTAATGCTGGCACAGAAAATACTACTCTTAAATACACATCCCTTTCACCTGCCACACTCAGGGTCTGCTGTAAAACCAAACACGTGGTGCCACATGAAATTTCCACATAGGGAACAGACCGAATGTGCTTACAGAGTGGAAGAAATAGATTTTGTTGTTCAGAAGGCTGCAAGTTGTAGTGAAACTCTGTCTTTTGGAATGTAAACTTGAAACAGCGGCTGCCGCTGCGATTAGGTTGCTGTAAGTTGACTTAAGTGTTGAGCTATTGTCTGTAATTCAGGGATAGGGTATTTGGGCAGAAAGATTGTGCAACAGGAAGTCTGTGCTGGGGTTCAGGAAGGATTTTGGCGAGCGAGGTATTTGTGGTGTTTCCACGGTCAAGGTCACTGGGTGTGTTTGAGTTATGAGGACTCTGTTAGCAGGAGCGAGTCCGAGATTTTTATGGGTGCAAGCAGCCTTCTGGCTACCTTCCTTCGTGTGCCCTGGGCCCGGCGTACCTCTTAGTCCCAGCAGCACACGGAAGTGGCTTAGCTGAAATCAGTAGTTGAATAAGGGAAAAATAAGTCACGCTCTGAAATATTTTGAAGGATCTCTTTTGTGTGTATGTGTGTATTCAGTCAGAAAAGTGATTTTTGAAAACGACAACTTTTTTTTTTTTTTTTTTTAAATCTCATCCTCTCCGTGTTGTTTAGGACTTTGTGCGCTCTTCTGTTGACAGATGCTCTGGTTGCAGCCACGAGAGAATCGGCTCTGCCAAATTTTTCCTTGATCACCTTCAAAGTTGCCAAAGTTACTGGTTTTGCTGTTTGTTTTGTTTTTTTCCTAGCTAGAGCTTAAACTCGCCACTCAGATCTCACTTAGCTGGACTGACAGATGACCATAGCATTTAATTTGTATAAAGAACACAGTTGATTCAATATGAATAGGACTTGCAGTGTCATTTTGCATTTGTGTTTCAAAACATAATAACACTTTATTAATATCATTACATATATTACTTTGAAAGAGGCATAAGAAGGTCTGTAGCATGCTTTATTTTAGGGTATTTCTAAATATATTTAATATGAGGTTTTATAATTAAGTTCTTATTAAAGAATAGTAATTATTCCCTGGATAACTGTGTAGTATTTTCATTGTGTGTTCCTGTTATGTTTGTGCCCTGTAGGATGTGGTTTATTTATTAAAGATATGGCTGATACATGGGGTATGAGGCTCTTTCTGGCTCATACAAGTAACAGCATTAAGATAGCAAAATGCAGGATTTTTTATAT